AAATATATGTATATAACCAACTCCCCCAGATAGAAGCTGATTTTAATGTGAATGTCAATGCATTTGAGTCAAATTTTTTTAATAATAACATCCGCATGAATGTTTATTCGGCCACAACGGATCCGAAGCCATAGGATAGAATCTGTCCCCTAAAGACTGGATCTACCAAAATGAGCTCTTTTACGAGTAGCGAACAAAGGAGCCAGCGATGGTAGGTAAGAATTTACCACTGTGCTACCTACTCGCATTGTATACTCATAATCATATTACAATTTGAGTGCTGGTTTATTCCTGACACAAGATCGATTGGACTGGACAGACAAAAAAAGGAACTACTAGGATGGACTACATATGCAAAAAGGTGCAGAACATGCTGAGTAACACCTGAACAAACCCTGTTATGCTGCTGCGTAGATGTAAATACAACAGCTGTTTACCCACCATGTTCACCTGGGCGCAATACAGAATCGTAGAGACTGACCATATCTTCTGTAATATGTCACTTGTTCAATAATAACACGGGCACGTCTGAGCCGTTTGACTTCGGTTTTTAGAATATCTTTATTGAATTTATTCTTATAACCCAGACCGCATAGCTGCGCTGCCGCAGCGGAGCGGATTTATACATATTTGTCTTATCAGCATAATCGAGAGGGCAAGAGCCGTATGTACATATGTGTATATATATATATACTTCAAGTGGTCAGCGTGGGAATGCTGACTTAGCTTAGCGCAAAAGCGGCGCTCATATTGCACGCTCACTTGAAATGGTTTTGTTTGTGTACTGAAACAATGTGTTGCTGATATATTTATTGTTAACCGTTAAGTACAGTGTACACTCAATATATGCACATACTACACTTCTCGACAGCAGAATCTGAATTGGATCGTATCATTATTATAGCCAGAATGTAGAAAACAACTAAATTTTTTTCTCGCCCTGTCTCTCTCTAACACACACGTATAATAGCCGGCTTTGCTTAGCGAAAAAAATTGGCGCCTAGATTTCAGAGACTATAAGAGCTATAGCAACCAAATTTAGTATCCGCATTCCTATGATATCGAACTTGCACAAGTATATTTCAAAACTTTGCCCCACCCCGTTCCGCCCCCGCAAAGGACGAAAATCTGTGGCATCCACAGATCTCAGAGACTATTTGACCGGACTGTAGAGCTCTCACTGTAACAAAACTATTTTTAATCTTTCACTGCAGAACTCACTGTTACAAGTGTATTTCTTTTTGCTCACTGTAGAGACCTCACTGCCACAAGTGTGTCTAAAAATTTCGCCACACCCAATTCCGCCCCAAAAACGACGAAAATCTTTGGCAACCACAATTTTGAGGAAGAGAAAATTAAAAACGCACAGTCATAGGGAATGGCCATATCTACCAGATTGCCGAATCTTGCCGAATCCGAATCATATCGGATTATTATTATAGCCAAAAATAACAAATCGATTTGCAGTGGCTACGCAGCGCCCGTCGACACGTCTGACTGATTTTCTGTCTCTCTTGTACGCACTCTTTGTCGTTTAATGTAGCCATACTGACTATGTATCGGGTATAAATGTAGAGTTGTGGTCGCAGCAGCAGATCACAATATTCCCCTCACAATGTTTTATGTTGCACACTGCATCTGGATTATTTTGAATGTTTAATGCAGCTTAAATGCTGAATGAGCTGTTCTGTCTCCATCTAATAAAGATGCTGCAAGTCCAGAAGATACAACAGCCAATGAGATGCCATGTAGCATACAACGTACCGGGTCTAGGAGCCGATGTACACTAAACTGGAGTGGGAAGTACGCGCTGACTCACTTGGACATATAAGAGGTCCATTGAGTTGCCGCATGGGCATGTGGCCCTTCTCGTTGACTGAAACCGTGAGAGCAGACTACTGCAGGTTAACGGTAGTCCCATCCGAAGGCTTGGATGAATTTGGATAAGGTCCCTGGTTTGCTTTCGGACAGGTCCGAAATGTCCGTGAGCAAAGCGGCTCCGAGAATACGAAGAGGACGATTTCCAAGTGCCGGGCAGTGCCAGAAGATGTGGGGGACCGATTCCTACTGTTCCTCGTCGCGACAACTTCTGCAGAAGTCGTTATGAGGAATTGACAGTAGGAGCCATGAGGGCCGATCTGCCAGTGTCCCGTAATTTCTCGAGTAACTGCAGAGCATTATGCTCTGCTGCGTCTATACAGCTCTGCTGAGCGCTTCTTCTCGTTTACTCGTTTACCCCTGAATTCACACGCTTGTATTCGTCGAAAGCTTCTCCTCCTCCGTAAGTGCGGTGACGGTGCAGGATCTTTTCTCGTACCACTGATTGCGTTGGCGTGGATCTCATACGCCACGTGTTTTAACTTTTCGCAAACCACTCGAACTTTCCGCTGGCACGTCTGGCTCCTCCGGCCTTCTCCGATCGACTTCCTTTATCTCCTCGTTTTCCCAGCTCAGAACTCTGCCGATCCCGCGTCAGCGTGGGCGGCCAGTGTCGTCATTCTCGCTGCGGCAGAGGGCTGGCGCCGTCGTTCCCGCTCTCTGTCGGCGTCTACGCTATCAGCATTTCAGTTTGCTTTGTTTTTGTATAATTACTAATTTCCAAGAAAGTGGACTATTTAAATATAGTGGGGTACGATGGTACAATTAGGTTAGGAAGAACCCCGACCATCCGGCGAGGTAGACCCGAGCCTAGCAAGAGTGCACACGACCAAACCTATTTGTAGGCAGTCCTTAAATTCAGTCAAAGACATCTGCTGATATCGAGAGCCTATATATCTGTTTACATATATAAATTTAAACTCTGGTACACTACACGATGTGATAGAGCAGACTCTCAATGGGAGCGAGAACTTTAACGAATATGCCTTTGAAATCGTCTTCGCCGGACAACTTGCACAAGTATATTTCAAAACTTCGCCCCACCCCGTTCCGCCCGCGCAAAGGACGAAAATCTGTGGCATCCACAGATCTCAGAGACGATTAGACCTGACTCTAGAGCTCTCACTGTTACAAAACTATTTGTAATTTTTCACTGCAGAACTCACTGTTACAAGTGTATTTTCTTTTTGCTCACTGTAGAGAGCTCACTGCAACAAGTGTGTTTAAAAATTTCGCCACACCCCCTTCCGCCCCCGCAAAGGACGAAAATCTGTGGCAACCACAATTTTGAGGAATAGAAAATTAACGAGGGGGAACGTTGTGAGTTGCTGCGGACACCGCAACTCTACAGTTATACCCGATACTAAGTCAGTATGGCTCTCCTCCGGCAGACGCCGCTAATATTAAACGACACGACAAAGAGTGCGTGCGAGAGAGACAGAAAATCAGTCTGAGCGTGACGTCGGGCGCTGCGTAGCCACTAAAAATTGATTTCTTGCTTTTGGCTACAAAAATGATCCGATCTGATCCAGATTCGGCAACCGGATAGATATGGTCATTGTCTATGATTCTGCGTTTTTAGTTTACTCGATTTTGCAATATTGTGGATGCAACAGATTTTCGTCCTTTGTGTGGGCGGAAGGGGGTGGGGCGAAATTTTGAGATATACGTTTTATAGTGAGATCTAACAGGAGTGCGGATACCAAATTTGGTTACTCTAGCCTTAATAGTCTCTGAGATTTATTAATATCCCCAGATCTGCATCCTTTGCGGGGGCGGAAGGGGGTGTGGCGAAATTTTAAAACAAACTCGTCTCGGTCCGATATATTAGGAGTGTGGATACCAAATTTGGTTGCTCTAGCTTTTATAGTCTCTGAGATCTAGGCGCTAATGTTTTACTCTAAGCAAAGCCGCCTATGCTACGTGTGTGTTAGAGAGAGACAGGGCGAGAAAAAATGAAATTGTTTTCTTGATGCTGGCTATAATAATAATACGATCCAATTCAGATTCCGCAGTCTAAAAGATATCGTCATTCTCTACGATTCTGCATTTTTGGTTTTCTCGTATCTTTAAAATTGTGGATGCCACAGATTTTCGCCCTTTGTGGGGGCGGAAGTGGGCGGGGCAAAGTTTTGAAATATTTTTGTAGCAGTGACATATCACAGAAGTCTGGATCCAAAACATCGTTGCTCTAGCTCTTATAGTCTTTGAGCATTAGGCGCTGAAGGGGACGGACAGACGGACAGACGGACAGACGGACGGACGGACAGACAGACAGGGCTCAATCGACTCGGCTATTGATGCTGATCAAGAATATATATACTTTATAGGGTCGGAAACGATTCCTTCTGGACGTTACACACATCCACTTTTACCACAAATCTAATATACCCCAATACTCATTTTGAGTATCGGGTATAAAAACGCACAATCATAGAGAATGGCCATATCTACCAGATTGCCTAATCTTGCAGAATCCAAATCATATCGGATTATAATTATAGCAAAAAGCAGCAAGTCGATTTGCAGTGGCTACGCAGCGCCCGTCGATTTTTTTTTTATCGCCAGTTTCGGCAGTCCAATTGGTGCATCAAGAAAAAAAAAATCCTGCTTGTCCTGCCAAAACTGCCAGCATAATGCAGTCGTAAATAACTTTTTGTTCATCATTTAGTAGTGGAACATTGCGACTAACAATGCCTGCCATTTCTACATTATCGTACTTTATGAGCTCAGACCGAAATGACTGATTGGTAAATTCGCAATATGAATGCAATGATTCTAAATATCAATCAATGCTTCATTTTATTCAATGTGCTTTCGATAAATATTTTTTTCAATTTTTAAACCCGAGGACCGAATTATTGTTTCGGCCTATAGAGATTTCATGCGTGTATTATTTATTTAAATATTTTTCTTTGAATTTTATGATGCCACATTTACATTAATTTCTATCGGCGCAGATTGGCGCGATAAGCACACAAAATTTCACGATAATCGGTAGAGCTATTTCGGAGGAGTTTAGCAACAAAGCTTGTGACAAGAAAAACCTGAATTTTTATGTCTCTATTCAAAACAAAGAGCACACATAAAATTCACAAAATTCCAAATTCAATTTTACATTTACACACTCAATAGTACGCAGATGGATCGTGAAAATTCTCAGAATCCCTATGAGGCACAGTGCAATCAGGCCCAATGCAGTCGCTCCCAGAATTCACAGTCGGCCAGGGATGAAGTGTCTTTTGGTACCCCTCAGCAGCAGCATAGGCAGCAGCAGTCAATCTATGACTTTGTGGACAATGTGAGTGTAAAATGCGGAAACTATTGCATAACTATTGATTAACTATTGATGACAGCAGGCACAGTCGGCCAGGGAGGCACTGTCTTTGGGTATCCCGCAGCAGCAGCAAAGTCAGCAGCAGTCAGTTTATGAATTGTTTGGCAACAATGAGACCATTGACAGATCTGTGAGCGTGAATTGCGGAAACTATTTCATAACTATTGATGAGTTATATAATTTTATTCCGATAGGAACGCGATCTCAGTAGCATGATGGTGGGTCCTGGAAATTCTCGGAAACCCTGTAGTGCACGGTGCAATCGTGCCCTATGTAATTGCTGCCAGCAGACAAAGTCGGCCCAGTATGCAGAGGAAAGTTATGCCTTCTTTCACAACGATGAGACCACCGTTGGATTTGTAAGTATGAAGTGTTAACTGCAGAGTTCTTCATTAATTTAATTAATTTAAAATGTTTTTCGATAGGAGCCTGATATCAAGAGCACGACTATTGATAGAGAGAGTTCCGACGAAGCCTGTATGCCACATTGCACTGACAGCTGTAGCCGCCCGTCGCATTCAATGCGAGGATTAACGCCACCAAAGGTAAGTTCTGCAGGAGTGCTGTGCCGCTTGTAGATTGACTACAATGAAGGTCTTGCCACAGTAACGAACCTCTTTGTTCAAATTTATAAATCTGGCCCGACGAAAAATAAGAGCGCACGGGTTGGGTTTGGTTACTGTATAACAATTAAGCTTTATTGGTATCTTAGAACTATCTTACGCTACTTTGCCTTCTGGACGGGTTCGGCAGTTGGTTTCTCCTCCTCTCCGTTCGTGATGAGCGCGACCTATTCGTGACCCGCCAAGGCGTCTCCAAGCGTGGCTCCTCCGGCTCTAACGACTGCGGCTAGTGATTCTTGGCAGGTAGCCCAAATCCGCCACTCAGTCGGCGCCTGACGCGTTCGCTCTCACTAGACTCAACTTGATGTTTCTGCCTGATCGCGGTTCGCCTCCTATGGGATACACTCCAACCGTCGCACCGTTGGTTCAAGGGATTGGAGCCTTTGGCTCTTGGCTTTGGGCTCGATTCCGCCTCTCAATCCTAACGCAACGTCTTCGCTTTATAAAGTTTTCCCTTCGTGCTTGATCGCACTGCTTGTTACTCACCTGGTTCTCCGGGAATTCACCGCCTCCGGATAATCCCGGATAACGGCCTCTAGCCCTTAATCCACTACCGCCCCCTGCTTGTAGGAATACATTTCCTCACACCACTCCTTCCACAAGCTCTGGTTGGGAGTTGTGTCTCCAAACAGACCTCGTGGAGTGCGGTACTACCGTCCCTGAAACCGCCTAGCTATGGGAACCGCTCTCAGCAGAACATCCGACATTTGAATAAGAGGTTTTCTAACGAATTAGAATATGATAATCCGAGCTTTCTTTCTTTACTCCCAGTATGATTCGGGAAACCAGCAGTCACTACCGCCCCAGAGGTCTGAAACGCAGCAGAGTCAATATGTAAGTGTGGTTTTTGTAGGATGAGCCTTACTAATTAGGTATTCTGTCTAAACATCTATTAAACATCTATTAAATCCCCCAAAACAGTCAAGAATTCAATTCTCAACTTGTCCACCTATGAGCCATACGTCGCGCAGTCAGTCATTCCAAAGAGGTAACGCCCAGAGGCCAGATCGCCAGCAGATTCAACATGTAAGTGAGTGAGTCGGAGTCCTGGATGAGATAGTATGCTATGTTTCATAATGATCTAACTGATCAACAATTAACCCCAAAGGAGTCAGAGGAATTCAAGGATATTGAACCGTTTGAAGAACCAACGAGCAATCATTCGATCCAGACTTTTCAAACACCGACACCATCCTGTTGTCGGAAGGCCATGAATCAGAGTCCCATGAATCAGAGTCAGGAAACTATGACTACACGACAGTGTTACAGTACGCCATATAAAGAGAATACACCCGCTAAGCCGGAAAGACCTTATTGCATGGCAAATGCAAAACTAACACTCCGATACGGCGATCCATCCAATAGTCAGGTTAACACGAGAACGCCAGTTGGACACAGTACCCTGTATCATAGCAATGCACCAACAAATGGAGATAGTAATGCATCGCTACCAATCAGATATGTCGATCAATCCAGTGAAGAGGAATGCACGAGCTCGGCATATGCACAAAATGCACGTCATCCAAAGCAAGTGTCATATGGCCGTCAGAAGCTCTCCCTTGACTTTTCCCAGACGATCTACGGAACGTCTAGTTCGGATGTAAGATATATAGTTTTCCTAAGTTTTCTTTCAATTTAATGTGATTCCTACTTTGTCAGGAGAATTGCATGTGCAGCCGCCCTAAAACGGCAGAGGAAGCGTTGGCTAGCCGCACCAAAGCCGTGTTCTTCCGTGCCATGGTCAAGGAGAACTGTTGTAACGATGTGATAGAGCAGACTCTCAATGGGAGCGAGAACTTTAACGAATATGCCTTTCAAATCGCCTTCGCCGGTCTAATACCTGAGAAGCTGGGTTGCGTCGATCCCATCACCATGCTGGAGGCAATCAAGTTACGAATCGATTACGAATGGAAGGCAATTCGCAATAATTATGAGAGAAAAGAAAACTTAATCAAAACGGAAACATCTGCACGGGATAGAAGTCGAGATCGGTACAAAGATCATTCCAAAGATCATTCCAAAGATCGTTCCAAAGATCGTTCCAAAGATCGGTGCAAAGATATTAATGATGGCTCGAGCAGCCAGGAGACCACCCAGCAGCAAGTGATCCCCAACGAAGATATTAAAGATCACTTCATGCCGAAGAACCAATATGAAGTCAATCAGGGCATATGCGCCTACCTCAAGGCCGAGAACGAATATCGCGGTTTGCATTCAGATTCGGTGAGTTTATATTATGAAGCATCAATAAACATTGAAAATATATGTATATAACCAACTCCCCCAGATAGAAGCTGATTTTAATGTGAATGTCAATGCATTTGAGTCAAATTTTTTTAATAATAACATCCGCATGAATGTTTATTCGGCCACAACGGATCCGAAGCCATAGGATAGAATCTGTCCCCTAAAGACTGGATCTACCAAAATGAGCTCTTTTACGAGTAGCGAACAAAGGAGCCAGCGATGGTAGGTAAGAATTTACCACTGTGCTACCTACTCGCATTGTATACTCATAATCATATTACAATTTGAGTGCTGGTTTATTCCTGACACAAGATCGATTGGACTGGACAGACAAAAAAAGGAACTACTAGGATGGACTACATATGCAAAAAGGTGCAGAACATGCTGAGTAACACCTGAACAAACCCTGTTATGCTGCTGCGTAGATGTAAATACAACAGCTGTTTACCCACCATGTTCACCTGGGCGCAATACAGAATCGTAGAGACTGACCATATCTTCTGTAATATGTCACTTGTTCAATAATAACACGGGCACGTCTGAGCCGTTTGACTTCGGTTTTTAGAATATCTTTATTGAATTTATTCTTATAACCCTGTGGCAACCACAATTTTGAGGAATAGAAAATTAAAAACGCACAGTCATAGGGAATGGCCATATCTACCAGATTGCCGAATCTTGCCGAATCCGAATCATATCGGATTATTATTATAGCCAAAAGTAACAAATCGATTTGCAGTGGCTACGCAGCGCCCGTGGACACGTCCTGACTGATTTTCTGTCTCTCTCGCACGCACTCTTCGTCGTTTAATGTAGCCATACTGACTATGTATCGGGTATAAATGTAGAGTTGTGGTCGCAGCAGTAGATCACAATATTCCCCTCACAATGTTTTATGTGGCACACTGCATCTGGATTATTTTGTCTCCTTCTAATAAAGATGCTGCAAGTCCAGAAGATACAACAGCTAATGACGGGGCCTAGGAGCCGATGTACACTAAACTGGAGTGGGAAGTACGCGCTGGCTCACTTGGACATATAAGAGGTCCATTGTGTTGCCGCATGGGCATGTGGCCCTTCTCGTTGACTGAAACCGTGAGAGCAGACTACTGCAGGTTAACGGTAGTCCCATCCGAAGGCTTGGATGAATTTGGATAAGGTCCCTGGTTTGCTTTCGGACAGGTCCGAAATGTCCGTGAGCAAAGCGGCTCCGAGAATACGAAGAGGACGATTTCCAAGGGCCGGGCAGTGCCAGAAGATGTGGGGGACCGATTCCTACTGTTCCTCGTCGCGCCAACTTCTGCAGAAGTCGTTATGAGGAATTGACAGTCTAGAGCCATGAGGGCCGATCTGCCAGTGTCCCGTAATTTCTCGATTAACTGCAGAGCATTATGCTCTGCTGCGTCTATACAGCTCTGCTGAGCGATTCTTCGCCTCAGCTAAAGGCGACTAGAGACTCGTTTACCCCTGAATTCACACGCTTGTATTCGTCATTCGCTTCTAGCTCTTGCTTAAGCCGGTTGTGTTTTTTTCTTGCTCCAGCATTGTCCGCCCTTTGCCTAAATATCATACAACATTGTTGTGACTTTGTTTTGATATATTATCGCATCTCTTTAATTTGATTCTACTTTGTGTTAACCACCAGTGTTTTGTTAGTGAACAAGTGTTTCATATAAATTCAATATTGCAATCGTAACGCATCGGACTCGTGCAGGCAATTTGTTATTGTTTTTTTGCTCAGTCTGCTTTTCGTTATCGCTTCTACGCACTGTTCTCGCGCATCAGCGTTTGCATCGCCCACACTCTCTCGTGAGCATAAGCGGGCTGCTCGCATTGTTGGTCTCACTCTCTCTGGATTGCCTATTCTCTCCCTCTCTGTGGACTTTTCTTTTGTGTCTCTGCTTTGGTGAGTTTAGTGCTCGTTTTCTGCACTTCGTTGGATCATCTGCTTTGAATTATTGCTGCTGCAGCTGATTGTCTGGCTCGCTCTGCTGTCTGCTCTCCTACTTTACCTGCGATCTAACTCCGCTCTTTTATTATTCGTGCACAGTGATTCCACTGCTGTCAATAATGGCAATCGTTTGTAGTGCAAAGAAATGTGAATTCGGTGGTGTTATCATCGGTGATTCATTTCTTAGCTGCTGGCTGTGCGACAATTTTGCCCACATAAAATGTGCTGGTGGTGGAAATTTTGGCCGGCTGAATGATCTAATCTCGAAACGCATGGGCCTGTCTTGGTCATGTCTGGCTTGTCGGGAGATTGAGGCCGAAATGCGCACATTTATGAGACAGACTCGAACTGGGTTTCTGGATGTCCGGAAACAATTTGTTGCTCTCAACGAGAATTTTCTTGCCCTTGAATCACAGTTTCTTGGGCTCAAACTCTTGAGCGAATCGCCTAGACGGAAAATTCCGCATAATGATACCAATCTCTTGCAATCTAATCCGATTGGTACGCCTGCCTCCCAACTTTATCCATCGGCAACATTTCCGTGTAGTCATGCCACGCCGTTGTCCGTAAATCCGCCAACGGTGGCTCCGGAGTTCTTTACACCGAGCAATGTGGCCGTCACTTCTGACGCGGTGAGTGCTCCTAGTGCGGGTGTGCTGGTTGCTGACGACGTCTTGCCAACTCCTGCTCCAATTCCTGCTCCAATTCCTGCTCCAATTCCTGCTCCAATTTCTGCTCCAATTCCTGCTACAACCATTGCTGCCAATTCCTCTGCCCTTGGACCGAGATCTCTTTTAGGAGTGGCTCCACCATCTCGATCTCGCTCGGGACTTTAACTTAGAGCAGTGGTCCCTCGGAAAGCAATATTTGTTTCTCGTCTTATTCCTGAGGCTACAACAGAGGATGTTAAACAACATCTTTCCTCTAAACTTAACACTTCGCCTGTTGATATAGTTGTGACTAAATTTACATTTAAACATAAGCGCAACATATCATCATTTAAAATTCTTCTCCCTGATTCTTTACTATCCAGTTCTCTAGAACCGTCAATATGGCCTGAGCATACAATTGTGCATGAGTTCCTTCTCAAAGATTCGAACTCGAATCCAAGAATAACCGAACATGCTCCAAAAAACTGATGTACTATTTTTCCATGCACTATCAGAACGTTCGCAGTTTGCTGGGAAAATTGCGTCAAATTCATACTAATAGCGCGTCCTTTGATTTCGATGCCATCGCGATTACCGAAACCTGGCTTAACTCCTCTGTCAATGATCATGAAATTTTCATTGATAGTTACACTATTTATAGAATGGACCGCCCATCTTTTGCAGGTGGGGTTCTGATTGCAGTTAAATCTGTTTTCTCATCTGAGTTATTCCCATTTAATAACATTCACGGAATCGAATTTGTTGCAGTCAAAGTTCGTGTTGGCTCCGCATTTTTCTATTTAACCTGCTCTTACATTCCTCCCAGGTCTGATGCTGAGCTTTACTTACACCACCTCTCAGCAATTAATATGGTTTTGCATTAGGGTGCCATGATCGAATTATTGTCATGGGGGACTTTAACCTCCCATTTCTTTCTTGGCTGCCTTGTGATGACGCTAACCTGTTGTTTCCCAATTGCCATAATGACTTTATCAATGGGCTAACGGATAGTTCCCTTGTCCAAATTAATGCCGTTAAAAACATGAGGGACAGAATTCTTGACCTCGTTTTTGTTAACGATGGTTCTCTTCCTACGGTATCTAGAGCAAGTCCAATATCTCTCCCTGAAGATCCTTACCATCCAACTTTGTTGATATCACTGGAGTTTACACAATCTGGATGTGTTGACAGTTCCATGGCTCCTTGTCACATAAAGTGTTTTCGCAAAACAAACTTTATCGATTTAGATCTACATCTCTCGCGTGTTGATTGGTCGTTTCTTTATTCATTACCGAACCGAGATGCAACTGTTAACTCGTTTTATAGTTCTATTTACTCCGCCCTAAATACGTTTGTTCCAGATATCACTGTACCTGTATCGTCCAAGCCTCCTTGGTTCTCCAAGTATTTATCATACTTAAAAAATAATAAATCCCGGCTCTATAAAAAGTACCAGAAGTCGGGCTCCACGTTGGCTTTAGCTCTATACTCCTCCGCTCGCTCTCTGTTCCTTGCCGTCAATAGTCAGTGTTATAATCATTACCTTTCACAATGTAGTAGGAACTTTCGTAGTGATCCTAAAAAATTCTATTCGTTCGTTAACTCTAAGCGCAAGTCAAACGGTTTTCCTCCGTCCCTTCATTACCAGAACAAAACAGAAGCTTCTGCTGTTGGTATTGCAAATTTATTCGCTAACTTTTTCCAAACAACGTACTCGTCTCATATTTACAACGCATCCACTCCGTATCCGTACCAGCTACCTCAAGCTAACAGCATTTTTCTGCCCTTTTTCGAGGAAAGTGTTATTCTGGAAGGTTTGTCATCTATGGACATGTCGTTTTCTGCGGGTCCAGATAAGGTACCTAGTTGCATCTTAAAACACTGTGCCCAGTTCCTTTGCAAACCCTTGACCTTTCTCTTCAACCTCTCCTTGGAACAGTCTTGTCTCCCAGTAATTTGGAATGAGTCCTATATCATTCCGCTTCACAAAAAAGGTTCAAGATCAAACATTGAAAACTATCGTGGTATCGCAAAGCTTTCCGCCATCCCGAAGCTTCTTGAGTTCCTAGTCACCCGGCAACTGTTGCAGCTTGATATCTCCGTCGCAACGCGGTTTTTTCAGACATCGTTCAACATCGACTAACCTTCTTGAGTTTTCTAACCTAATCCACCGTGGTTTTCAAATTGGTTTGCAGACGGATGTAGTTTTTACTGACTTCAGCAAGGCATTCGATTCTGTGAACCATGCTCTACTTATTCACAAGCTCTCTCTATTAGGGTTCCCAACGAATCTTCTAGATTGGATTTTGTCCTATCTCTCTAACCGTACTCAACGTGTTTTGTTTTCTAACGTGTTGTCAAATACTGTTAATGTTACTTCAGGTGTGCCACAGGGAAGTCATCTGGGCCCGCTTCTGTTTATTTTATTTGTGAATGACCTTCCTCAAGTTATAACATACTCTACTACACTAATGTATGCTGATGATGTCAAAATCTGTCTTTCTTACTCTGATTGGTATTTGCACACACGCCTTCAACTTGATCTAAGTGAACTACTATTGTGGTGTTCAACTAATCTTCTTTTTCTGAACCTTTCCAAATGCAAACTTATGACATTTTACCGTCGCGCTCCTCATTTTGTCCCATATGTTCTAGGAAATCATGTCCTTGAGCGAATTTCGAGTTCAAATGACCTCGGAGTCCTTTTTGATCATAAGATGTGTTTTAACACCCATATAGCTGCAACTGTAAATAAAGCTAAGGGTGTTTTAGCGTTCATCAAGCGTTGGTCCAAGGAGTTTGACGACCCGTACGTTACGAAACAACTGTACATCTCGTTAGTACGTCCTATATTGGAGTATTGTTCTTGTGTGTGGAGCCCGCAGTATAAAGAACAGCAGGCTGTTATTGAATCCGTGCAAAAGCAATTTTTAATTTTTGCCCTTCGGAAC